CTTCACAGTCAACATAGAACAAGTTGACAATATGGGTGATATTGTGTTTGTAATTATGTTCAATTATGTAATTATTAGAAGAACCATCAAGTTTCATGGATACCACGGAATTTTAGTCTATTTTTCCAGCACTGCTTAGTTCTTAAACTATTTCTATAATTCAGAAAATTACTTTTTTTTTTGGTTGTTCCTATTGGTCAGTGTACTTGGAACCACCATCAATTTTGTGCTTTGATTTTCTTACTGATTTTTTTTTTTTTTTTTTTTTTGAGAAAAATTAAGTCATTTTTTGTTTGTTGCATATTTGTATGCTAAATTGGTGAGATGTGAATGCCACCATGTAGTGCAAGTCCAATGCTTGAACTGTTTAGAATTTGATTTCTTTCACTGGAATGGAATAAGAGAAGAAGAGAATATTGTTTGTGTAAGGTATTTAAATTTTGTTTATTTAAAAAAAAGGTATTTAAATTTTTGCATGTATGATTTACCACGGAGTGATCAAATACTTGAAAATCATGCAGCTATCTAGTTCAAACTATTTGCGGACAAGTGGATCCTCAAGGCGAGCTGCTATCTCAAGCAGTCGTGATTTAGGGATGGTTGGAAGTGAATATGATCCAACTCACCCTCAGAGTACAGATGCTAGCAGTGGAGCACTTGCTAGAATAGCAAGTATTCAAAGGAGTTCACCTATTGTATCTTCTGAGAACAAGCGGTCGTCATCTGGTAGGAACACTTCAATGATGAAGAACTATGAATCCAATATTCGGGGCATCGAGAGCCTGCATTTTCAATAATGTTGGAGACATTACATTGATATGAAAGAAGGTGATGAAATGGTAGCCGGATGTAAATCTTAATACAATGTTATTATGCTGCTACACAGATGAGAGTGGAATATGGGTTGCTTGTGTAATGTGGTGGTTGTAGGAAAAGCTGCAAGGCAGCAGAGCGGGAGATCAGAGCCATAAGCATGGAACAAAATATTAATAAACAAGAGATGATGGAGAAGTAGGTCTCCCAAATCTGGAGATAGCAAGGCTGCTTATTATTATGTGTTGATTTTCCAATGTTATTATTGACTCGTGAGTTAATTTGTTTTGCAAACAAATGGTTATACTTACCCAGCAGTTGTAAGATCTGTAAGTATTACACTATGAATATGCAAGGTTGAACATTGGGAATGCTGTGTTATTTACCTTTTTTGATTTGGAGAAGATGGTGAACCCAGCTGTTGGTACAATTGATTGGTAGGTTTGGTGGTTTTTTCACAGCCTATTTTAAATCAACAATTATTTGTCTTTTACTATGTATAAAAGAAGTGACTCATTCCATTATCATACTTCTACTTCTTTAGGTAGTATGAATATTTATCTTGGTGTAAATTCTTAGTTAATATCATGATATAATCTATTCGCTCCTCCCCAATTTCTTGCAATTTATCATTAATAAACAACATTAGAGATGGATAGAATAATAAGATCTTCATTGAAGTTCCCTCTGCATAGTTTAATTTTTGTGAGGAATGATGGAAGGATCTTCTTTTATCTAAATACATTCTTGCTTTTTCCCCTTTCAAAATTGACAATAATTCAAAATTTAATCAAGGCAATACTTATGTTACTGGGTGTGTGCTTTGATATTTTTCACATTCGAAGCAAGTTTTTTTAATATTTCATTATCAGTTAGGAAAAGAGCTAAAAACTGAATCATTTGAAGTAAAATGGAAAAAAAAAAAAAATCAAACAAATAGCATCATTAATTATTAAATGTAAAAATCTTTCGTTGTTAATTGAATAGTTGATGGAGGTAGAGATGCAAAGTAAAGCAGCCTATATTTCGTAGAACTGAAATTTGGATTATGGTTCATTCCATCGATGTCTCGTATGATAATTCATTGCAGCAGAATCAGATTTAGACGGCATAAAAAACCAAGCTGGGATTTTGCTGACAGAAGACAAAAGCTTGTGAAATTAAATTCCATCCGGAGATAAACAACACTTTTTAAGACATAGTTTGGAAGAAATAAACATGGAACTGGCCAAACACACCATAATTGTCAATTGAAGAAACGCATACACATTTAACTCCCCAAGTTTCATTGATACATAGATGTCGATAGATTTCCCAGCAGGGGACTATAATATTGTATGATATAATTGTATGTAGTTGAGAACTGTTGTTACATTACATGGGTAATGATGAATACCTCTGAAATATAAAATCACCACCAGCCGCCATGAACGACATTAGTGCAGGTATGCTTGATCCACCTGAAGCTCTTTCTGAGAGATCCCTTCATTTTGCCTTCAACAGCATAAACCTTGTAGCTGGCAACCCTCCTCTTCCTCTGCAGCTCCGGATCATTGAAGCCCCAAGATGAACTCAAACTGCTTTTACTCTTTTTCCCTGCACTGTAACACCGAAGCTCCTTCATGCTTGTCGGCGCTCCGTTGTACTTGTACCCCTCCATCTGCATTCTCTCATCCCTGCACGACTTGGATCTGAACTGCTCCATTCAAAAACAACAAACAGATTTCTCAGATTCAACAACTCACATGAACATATATATACATATAAGTAGTATTCGTGGAGTAGTAGTTGTTTTATTAATTGGGTGGGTTTTGTTTATATTTTGGAGTAATGGGAACAGCTAAAGATGGCGTCTTTAATTATTTAAATCTACTTTTCTTTTTCGTGGGGATGTGATATTTTCCAATTTCTTCTGTTCTTTTCTTTTCTTTTTGGGTTTTTTCCGATTTATTATTCAGATCAGTCTTAATTGTTTAATCTGTAGGTGGAGTGGAGTGGAGTGGAGGGAGGCGGCTGATTGGTAGTTTACGTCGTGACGTGGTTGGATGTGCACTTGCCACGTGGAATTGGTTCAGGTTTGACTAATCAAACATTCAACAGAGACTGCATACAGCATGAATAATCCCCTCACATGATTTGCATGGTTTTCAGATCATTTGATTGCCTTTGTGGGCTCCAATTACATCTCCAGATTATTTTTGTACACCTCCACTTGCCTTGTATTCTACGTATCAAAGTAAATGCTTTTTAGGAAAAATATATACATGTATATATATATACACACACACACACGCACGTACGGGTTAATTCACTTTGAAATGTATTTTTTTGAAAGAAGAAAACTCCAAAAAATATATTAGACTATAACTATAATTATAATAGTTTGGCAATTAAATTGACAAACTTGAAAGCACATGTATGATACCTTTATATACTTCCCAAATTCCACTAACATCATAATTGTATTATTAGAAATAATTGCGTATAACTAAAGATTCAATTATCTGATTATATATTTTTTTTTTAAAATTAAGAAGTTGTCTACTTAAAATTTTTAGTAAAATAATATCATCAAAGTTTATTTTATGATACTCGCAGAACATGGTTCTTAATTTTTTTTTTCTTTTAAGATTGTGATCCAAATCTGGCTGAGATCCCATGAAAAGACATGCGGATGTGGTTGTACGTGAGATTTGGAGCTTGAAAGTATTTCTCTTGAATTATTTATATATTTCTCCCACCATAAGATAAGATCAAAAGGGGTACGTTTCCTCCTGAATTTACAGAAGATATCCATTATTATCTGTGTGAATGCATACCCACTAGTACAGTGACATCACTATATAGATCAGAACATGTAAACGAGGGCCTATCATGGATGATGCTACTGCCAACTAGGGGTAATATAATATTACCAACACCTGTGGCATCTCATGTAAATCCCACATCGTTTGTTGTGTTTAGGTGGATTATATAAACTGTTTGATACCCTCAAGGGCTTCACAAAGAATCTCAGAGCTTTCTTCATCAATTTCTTTGTGATCTAAAGTCCTTTGCACAGAAAGCTATAACCTGAATCTTGGTTGGCAGAAGCTGGAAAACGTCATATCTGACAGCCACATCTTAGAAAATTTACATTTCTCATCTTTCATTACACCCCAATAAACAAGAGCTGGGACCAAGACAAAACGACAAAGCTGAACCTTGAAATCATGTGAAAGCATTTCATCAGCCTCATCCAATACAAAAATCTTGATGTAGCAAAAGCAAAGAGATTGCGTCTGCAACATGTCAAACACACGATTGGGAGTACCAACAGCATGACCTTCTACTTGAAGAATATGCTAACCTCATGAACACTCGTCCCACCAAAATAAGCATGAACTTTATCTCCAAGACAATTGCCATTACCCCGGCATCACCTTTTCAAATCCAGTGGACAAGTTCCCTAGTGGATTGCCAAAACCAAAGCCTGGCAATGAACAGATTATAATCAAGTTGCTGCATAATGGCAGAACTTAAAGTTGCTTTCCAGTTCTGGACTGCGCCCTGTTGAATGGCACCAAAGTCCTTGCAGAATGGAACAAATCGTCTCCCTGAATTGCAGAAACTTCTCAAACCTTGAAAGAAACAAAGAAAATACGTAGATAGTAAGTGCTATGCCCACACATGGATAACAGTTTCATTCACTAAGAACATAAACATTTTATTCTCTAAAAACGTACACACAAATCTAGGTGAAATCCCAGCCTATAAGTACATTCAAGTGGTTCTGACAAAATATAGCCAAGCAAATAGGTAGGCTACATTTCACAGCTTGTGTTTAGACAGGTTTTCATTCAAAATGTTAAAGATGGTCTTCACAACCTAATATCAACTGACGGGAGGAAAAGTCTTGCATATTCAGATACATACATGAGAAAAATAGTCATTTCTTTTTTTCAAAAGGTTCTTTTAACCTACCATATACATAAGGTTCTCCAGCAACCCCATCCAGTCAAAACTGTCATAAGCCTTCGTCATAGGATGCGAACAAGTCCTGCTGGTCACTTGAGACTCTGCACCAACAAATTTTCTGTCAGTAGGACTCACATCATGATATCAATCAGCCTGGCACAGTAATAGCATACAAGATTAGACCAGGAACTTACATCTTATTCATTTTTGTGTCGTACCGCCGAAGGTGAAACCAGGAATATTCTGGTGCCATACCTGCCATGTTTAGAAACAGAAATCATCTAGCAGTAAGTCACATGATAAGAGAATTTTTAGTTGACCGCAGGTTTGTAAAATAACAAAACTAGACCAGCAAACACAACATAGCTACAGAAAAAGTGAGTTCCTTGTTTAGTGAAAAAGGTAAATGTAACATAACAGCCAAACTTGCAAGTCCATGAGAGAGGAGTACAAGTATTAAAATTATGTATTCATTGTCTGGAGAAGCTATCCTTGGAGGCATATGGCTATCTGATATCAGATAAAGAATTTGCCATCAGATACCATTTGCCCCACCTCTCCAAAGTCCAACACTTGAGCCACGTGACAACACGCAGATATAAATATAAAACTAAATGCATCGACTGTGTTCATCATGATGACTAAAAATGAGCGGAAAAAAAAAATAAATTTAGCAGATCCTTTCCCAGAGTTGCCAGAATGTATCATCAGCAGTAAAAATAAGAAATTGAAAGAAGCAATTGGAAGCTAATGAAACAATGATCTAATCGACAATTCTTCTATCTACCTTTTGAACTGACATTACAGCCGCAAAAAGAAAGTGAGGAAGAAAATTTTGTTTAATATATGGTTTAGGTATCCAAATAACACAATGAAGGTTCATCAGTGAATCGCTTGTTTATTGAAAAATGGAAATGTAACAGAGTAGCCAAACTTGCAAGCCAACATGAGAGGAGTACAAGCATTAAAAATCTGAATTAAATGTTTGGAGAAGATATTCTTAGAGGCATACGGCTATTTGATATCAGATAAAAGAATTTTTCGTCAGATACCGTTTGGCCCATCTCTCCAGAATCTAATATTTGAGCAATGTGACAACAACACGCATGTAGAAATATATAGAATCAAATTACTTGTGTTCAAAGAAGCCTGCTTTTTCATCCGCATCCGCCCCTCTGGTCTTCCTCTATCCGTTATCTTTGGCGGCACCACCGAGTGGAGTCGGAGTAAGCAATAGAAAACCGTAGGAGTTGTCCCATAGGGTTTAGGGTTTTTCGCTTTTACCAATCCAAAACGATCCGTTTTTAAGGGGAAAAGAAGGGGGTATACATTCTATATTTTGGGTGATGGAAATGGGCTTCGTGGGCTGATTTTGGGTTCAATTTGGGCTTTAATTAAATGGAGATGTCAGGTGGTAAATTATACATATACATATACATATATATATATATATATATTTTTTTTTTTAATATTTCCTCCCTGCACTTTATTTAAAATTAAAATGATAATTTGAACACAGACAAGAATCATTCTAATTGCAAATTAAAAGCAACAGAAAATAAATTATAACAGAGCAAGTAAATTATTGTTTATGTATTTTGTTAAATCCTTAAACTACTTATTAAATAGTAATTTCTGAATTTATTGTTTCAGCTCAAAATTTATTTAAATAAATTGATGTCTGTTTGTTCTATTTTTAAAAATTTCCAAACTAATCGGATTAAGCCTGGTTTCACAAGACAAGACAAGACACAAAATGGGCACCCAGCCTTCTTAATAGTACCTACCTACCTACCTTCCTTCTCATTGCTGCTGACCCATAAAGGAAGAGACTGCGCACCCAGCCTCAGAATTGACTATCAGAAAAGAATTAATTTAAGCAAAATCCATTCCTACTGAAAATAAGTTATTTTGTACATCAATGTGATCCCAGCGCCCATGATTTCTAAAGCAAGTTCCACATATGAGAGACAAATCAACGATCAGCTGCTCCATTGTACCAATGACTCTACATACAGCTCAAACCAAGGGGACAATTTCACCGCGTGCACCTGCAACAGTGAATAAAATATTATATCATCAGATTGAATACAGGCGACAATGATCATGCGGGCATAAACAATTTGGAATTACATTGATCATATATCTCTTGCACAATCTGTAGCATTGAATCAGTGTCTTCTGCCATCTTGGAGATTCGTTCTGCCTCCTTAACTGCTTCTGCAGCCAAATATGATTTGTTTTCTGCTTCAGCAAGTCTATAGGCAGCAGTTACTGATGCTTCCTCCATTGCCCGACCACAAGTTGCCAGTGGTGAATTCTGTGGTGGCCGCAATCTCACATCCTTTTGTCTCAGGATAGCTGTTCTGTTTTCCAAAGAGGTATCTTCTCTGATCTTGTAGCAATTTTGTACCTGCATTCGGTAGTACCCACAAAATTGAGGAGCTAACATGAGATGCAACCGGAGATTAGACCAGCAGGTTCTATGGAAGCCCATAACATGTAATGCTGACTCAGGTGACATGAACATACAAAAGAACTCAGGTTCCTTTTAATTTTAGTTAAGCCCTACAGCCTAATCTTACAGCCCGATCCCAAAAGAAGTTACATGAAAGAATCAGATAATTCATCAATTAAAACTAGCATCATCCTCTTCCAACTTGTCACCACTTTTAGCAAAGAAATTCTGGATGAAATTGCACAATATCATTCTATCAACATGTAATCACCTTTTCAAGTTTTCCTTGAGCAACAAGCCTTCTCAGTCTCGAGCTCAATGACCTTCTAAAATTTTGTGGTACCTCCTGCCTTTGCTGCAGTGTGTGAATCATGATGGTCACTTATCAATCAAAACATAGATATAGTGAAAACCAACTGCTTGAGAACAACCATTAGAAAAGAAAAAGGAAAAGAAAGCACCTGGAAATATAATAATACATGCAACTCAATCTCACTAAGGAATTAAGCAACGACTAAGGAAGAGACAGCCATGGAAATTTAGAGGGTGTAAGTATTTATATTATAACTATATTTTGAGGGGGGAACAGGAAAAAAGAATGCAGTAAGTAGGTGGTGACAAATCTGAGTTCACTTGGGATTAGGCTTTTTGAAACTTTTCATATTATAGCGATGAGCCCAAACAAATCTTAACATGATTTATTTCTAGCTTTTACATTGAGCGGGAAAGTAAAAACAATACTTTCATGTTACTTCGAGCATTATTTGTTGCTCCTATCCAGAACCACCCCAATTAATGGGTTGCACATTCTACTATAAAATAAGACCTTTCTGTTTCTTACATATAGTAAAATAAAATTAGGATCATGAGAAAAGCCCCAAACTAAGAATGATATATCCTGCCAGTAGCGTATTTATGGTGCTAGTGTGGTCAGATGCGTACTCGAAATTAAAATCCAATTATAAATTTGATTCCACTAAATAAAATAGATTGTCCCTAAATATAGTAAAGTATATGGCATCCATAGAAATTATTCACAGAACTTCAAAATTGTAAGTAATCATCTAATATTCTGTTAAGAACACATGGTTGTGGCACTGCTACTTACAAATACATTTCTTTTTTTTTTTTTTAATTTTTGTTTCTATACTAGAAAATCTAGGAAAGAACTTGAGTCTTGCTAGAATTTCTGCCTACCTAACCTATTTTTGGGTAGTTGACAAGGACTCATCAAAAGCACCATACAATCTCATGAACAAAGAAAACTCAAAAGGCACTCTAAAATTTGTTTTTTTCTTTTTCGTATCAATATCTGATCTTCTACAAGGAGAACATAACTCCTACGGAATAGGAACTTCCCTTTCAAGAAGTAACCCAATTCTCACATTTACAGGAACTAAAATCATTACATTTAGAACTTATCCCACACTTCCCCGATCATAGGAATTTATTACATAACTAATAAAACTATACACCAGAAAATAGGAAACATAATCTAGTGCATTCCTCACCCTTTCTCAGCCACGTGTCTGTCTCCTATACACTTGAATAGTATTCTATTGGACCATAACAAAGTCAAATACAAGAATTCACCAAATAGAAAACTTTTTATCTTTTATATTAATCTTCCCATTCAAAATAACCTTGCTTTATGAGAAGCCTATCACAACCATGTCAGTTTGTCCTCTGTAATATGTACCAGGCTACCACATCCATGTCGCTATTTTCCTTTTGGGTGTTCAGTAACTTATTTTTATCTTTAGTTTTTCTTTTTTTCCTCCGTGCAATCCAAATACCATTGCATTACTTTTCTTTAGATAGCCCTCAAATTCCTTGTTTACATGCACAATAATTTCTTTATGATTCTTTTATCAAGTAAATTATTTTTGCACCCACCAATAAAATTTCCAGTCTACCACTGTACCCTCACTTACAAATAATGGGATCTTTTCCTACCAGGTCGTACAAATTTTGGGATGCCGGTCATATCCATTCACACATCTAATGTAACATATTACAGACTTCTTCGGCAAGATACTCATGCAAACTATGTCAGACGCCATAACTATATAAATTTTGAAGCTTAAAAACAACTAGTAAAAATTCATGTAAGCAAACTGAGTACATGAATTGATATTAAGTTAGCAAACCACTATATACGAATAATGTTTCCATCTAATGCTTAAATAAGGTTAGCATTTTTTATTTTTTTTAATTCAAAAGCTTCAAACATAGGTTGTCTCCAGCCAGGTTAAGAAAATCCAACTACTTGAAGATGCAATACCGTGTAATAAAAACAGAGGAGAGGCATAAAAAGAACTATATTCATCTGACCTCAATGTAGTTAACAATGGCACTGATATCACATCCGTTTGGATCTTTTATGGTCGAAAGAGCTTCAAATATAATTGAATTATACCTAGGAAAGAAAGGGGAAGAGCTTCAATGATGAGTGCTTAATAAACAAATTAAAACTGCTGACTTAAAGTATTCAAATATCTAGCATAAACAAGTGCCAGCAATTATTACAGGTAAAATACCCCTTTGATTGATATGCAGCACGAACAGTGGTGGAAACCATCCACCAAAAGTCACATGAATGCACAATAAAATGAACAGAGATGACAAACCTAGGAGCATTGTTCCCATCTGCTGGGCTGTTTGAAGGATCATCCAAGGCAATATCAGCTGATGCATTATGGTTAACTAGACCAGATGGGGTTGAATTTGGAGCATTGGGAGTTGAAGCAGCAGCAGCTGCTGCTGCTGCTGCAACAGCTTTTAGTTTAGGTGTTCTTGACTTATCTTTAGCGCCGGATCCACCAGGATTAACACTCAGATTTCGCCATTTGTCCTGTAAACATTGGGGGGCGGGTGCAAAATGAGACAGCAGAACAGATTCAATATAAATTTTTAACAAATAAAAGATAATAGGACAAGAAAAAGATTATATAGCATTTGAATTAGAAAGCCAAGGAAAATCATCTTATATTTCATCAAGCGAGGCTCCAACCACTTCCATAAAGAATTGAAAGAATAACAATATTCTAACTTAGTAAAAAGCTCTTGCACCTTTTTATCTTCACGACTTTTCATTTGCAAGTGGAAATGACTCTCAGCAATGGAAAAAATCCCTAAAACTAAAAATACAAAGAACAAACCTATGTAGGTACTTCAACTCGACAGGATTAAAAAGAGGACATAGAAGTTGGGGCGACTGTAGTTGCTTAGACTTAACTCTATGGCATACAAAATTATGTTATAAATGTCCACTAATGAGGCAGAAAATCCATTCACAGGAAAGGTTTAAGGAAGTTTACTCATGGGAGAAAGAAGAAGTAGGATTTTAGCAATACTAGCTAAATGTTTTTTGTTTTATATGTTTGGTTAAAATTTCAGTACATTAGTGTGGCTATGTGGCATTTTTAGCATGGTTAGAGCAAGAGAGTTTTATGTTTGAAATTGTAAGTTAGATATGCTACACTCCTGGAGCTAGTTATGATCCTAGCTAACATTATTCTTACTAAGTTGCAGGCAACAAAAAGCCACATGTTCAGAAAATAAAGGTTTTCTTGAGAGAGTTCAGAAAATAAAAGATATTAAAAAGTTTCTCAAGTACTTAAAACTCTTGGAGATCTTTGTTCTCCCCAACAAGCCCAAGGTCTTAATGAAAACAGGTAAAAGGAAAGAAAAAACAGAATCTGGTTCCAGTTTTCTGATTTTAATTCAAAAAGAACCATAACTAGATCCAAGACACTGGAATCTAACAGAATCTCCTTGAATATCACTTGTTCTACCTCCACTCTAGAATTTTTAGATGAATTCAACAATTTGATTTAGCACAGCCTCATCCATCAAAAACAAGTTCAAACCTTTGGAACACAATGTCGCAGAACTAACAAGAGGCCAATCAAACAACTCTCTAGCCTCATTACAGATTATTCAAGCACCTCCTCGGTTTCATTTAGATACCAAGAGACATACAACAAGAATATAATCTAAAACAAACTTTTTCCACAATCAAAATCACTCCTATGAATCGTCCCACAGATAGCAGCTTGCATCAATGGCAGTAACCACACGTACATGTATTAATAATAAGTCATAATTGACCCTACCAGTGATCATGCGTATATGTATAACTATTGCACTTTAAGGACCCTGCCCATTTCATCTGCAGAAGCAAGCCTGACAAACTTTATTCTCGAGTTCCTATGAAGAATGTCTAACCAAGAAAAAGTCAAAGAGGTAATGACCAAGACATATCTGCTCTAACTTTCTATCGATTTCATGAGTAAGCAGTCTGATAAGTTAAAAGATCAGATAAGTAACAGCCAAGACAGTGGTTTTCTCCAGCAGAACAAATGTGCAAAGAGCCTCATGGGGATTTCCTCGAGCCAACAAATACCAGAGAACCCACCGGGAACTAATGTTTACATTTTTTACCATATCGCAACTACAAATCAATTACAATCCAACTGAATTTCCTCACTTCTAGGGTTTTCACATACAGAAGAAACAAAATAAATTCCTGGGAAAATCTAAAATTTTCCGGGGGGTTAACCACGAGATGTAGAGAAAATAATAGAAAGATAATGGTGGAGAAAAAGGAACCTTGAGGTCAACATTAGATCGCAGAGTGAGGAGAGGACCAAATTCCTTATCATTGAGGATGTTCCTCCACTTGCCGGGACCGTGCTTGTCCACTCCAGCCACCAGTGCTTTCTCCTCCTCCACCGTCCACTTCTGCTTCTGATTTCCCATTTTTCAACCCTTCTCTGCCTTCTTTCAGGCTCTGTAAAGCCTCTTTAGATGTGTAGATGTCTATCTATTTTATCCGAGGATTTTGAAGGCAAACTACTTCCGCTGTTTGTTCTTCAATCGCATTTTTGGGTTCTTATAAAGGAAAAAAAGAAAAAAACGAGGACAACTGTTTCTCACCCCCGTTTTATACTTCTATATATCAACATTTCTTTTCTTTTCCAACTTTCAAATTTTTTTCCTTTTTCTCCCCCTTTCCTTTATTTTCTTGTTTATTCACAACATAGTCCTTTTCTTTAGCAGAGTTTCACAATATAATTCTTGAAATTGTATTTTTTTTTTAGGGCAAAAAAAAAAATCTACATTCTATACATAAAAAAATTAAATGTATACATTCACATTCTAGTCAACAATTATTAACTAGGTAAAATGATTCCTATCGCTTTGAGAGTGGGAGATGGCTCAACAACGCTGTTGTTTGGGAGGATATCTGGATTGGAAACCACTCCTTAGCAAGCCAATTTCTTATATATAATTTATCATCTTGCAACGATTATATTTCCAGTTTTGCCAATTCGACTTAAGGGACTTTAGCTTGGGACTTAAGTTTGATAAGTTAAAAGAACAGATAAAAAAACGACCAAGAGAATGATTTTTCTCCACAAGAACAAAGACGCGAACTTCACGGGGAGAAATCGGATTTCCTCTAGCCAAACAATACCATAGAACCTAATGAGAAGTAATGTTTCATTGTTTACCATATCACAACTACAGATATTCCAATTCGACTGAATTTTCTCGTTTCTAGGGTTTTCACATACATAATAAACGAATAAAATCCAAATATATATATATATATATATAAAATATCCAGAAGGGGCAACCATGAGATGTAGAGAGAATGATAGAAGAGTAAGGAAGAGGGAACCTTGAGGTCAATGTTAGATCGATGAGTGAGGAAAGGAGCAAATTCTGGATCCTTGAGAATGTTCTTCCACTTGCCGGGTCCGTGCTTGGCCACTCCCGCGAGCAGCGCCTCCTCCTCCTCCGCCTTCCACTTCTGCTTCTGATTTCCCATCTTTCCCCCTTTCTCTGCCTCTTTATCTCTCACAGTCTCTTTGGGTTTTATATATATATATATCACTATTGTAACCTATCTAAGGATATCGAAAGCCGACTACATCTGCTGTTTTCTTCTTTAATAATGTCTTCCTATCTATGAGGGAGAAAGAAAAGGAAAAACCAGATTGTTTGTGCGCTAATTGCAAGGGACTGAAATTTGGCTCTCACAACTTCTCATTGGAGTGGAGTGTGTTCGTCAAAGAACGCTAATTTGCACTACTAAAACGGGTGATAAATTATTACCTTAAAAAAAAAAATTATATTAAATTTTTATTTTCTTGTGATTATTTTAATTGAAAAAGATACTATTATATTAATTAAAATCTATTTATATTTAGATTTCACGCTAAGAATATGAATTTTATATAAATTTAACTCTTCCGACGCATTAAATTCATACAAATGTAAACTTATTTCGAAACTATTAAACTTTTTTACGTAATTTTTATTTAAAAATTATTTTGTGTTGTACTACAATTAATATATATATATATATATATTATTTAATGAATAAACATTAGTTTTCAAAATAATAACAAATCATTAAATATAATGCTCATAATTGGTCTTTTTAAGTTAAATAACATTTGTGGGTTTTGATCATAATAAACAAAATCTTCTCTAACTTTTTCGAAGGTTGTCATATTTAGAAATTGATGAAAATTGATCACTCATCCCAAGTCACAATTGGAGATGACTTTACCCAATTCTCATTCTTACACACTGTTAATAATTAATCAAACTACTACTAAGCAAAGGGTGTTGTTGAAGAGACTGAATTTGTAGATGTTATTTAACCCTTTAATTGTATATATATATATATATATTTATATTTGTTTTTTTAAAAAATAAATTATTAAATTAGTTCGTTCGTTACTTGTTCTAATTTACTATTTAAATAATTTAATCATTAAAATATTTTTATTTGTTTTAAAAATTAATTTAATAATTTTTTATCTTTTTTTAAAGAGTAATTTGGTTCTCAAAAACCCCCTTGTAAATATTGTTCCACCGGTCTACCAAAAATATAAATAAAATAACAAACCATATGTTACTTTCCTTTTACTAACCGCTTCACCTCCAGCTCATTGCCCTTCCGAGAAGGAGAAGGCTTAACAAACCCAGTTTTCCTTCCTCCATCAAACCCTAACCCTGATAGAAATCCGGGACCTCTTCTCATGGCGAAACCCAGTTCAGACCACGATTCAGACCCAAACATACGCCTCTACAATCCCTACCAAAACTACGACGTCCCAATCAACGCTCCCTATCTTTACAAGCTCCCCACATCACCGGAGTTCCTCTTTACCGAAGAATCTCTCCACCAACGTCGATCTTGGGGCGAGAATCTTACCTTCTACACTGGTTCTGCTTACCTTGCTGGTTCTATCTCTGGTGCGGCTGTCGGATTCTACTCAGCTATGAAGAACTTCGAGCAAGGCGACACTCTCAAGCTCAAAATCAACCGTATATTGAACTCTTCCGGACAGTCGGGTCGGGCATGGGGAAACCGGATCGGGGTGATCGGTCTCATTTACGCAGGGATTGAGAGCGGCGTGGTGGCTGCCACCGATAGGGACGATGAGTGGAGCAGTGTGGCGGCGGGGCTCGGCACGGGAGCCTTGTATAGGGCTGCCAGAGGGGTGAGGTCGGCAGCGGTGGCTGGAGCGCTAGGAGGGATCGCTGCAGGCGCGGTCGTAGCTGGGAAGCAGGCTTTTAGGAGATACATGCCGATATGAAGAGGGGAGAAAGACATTGTGAGTTACTTTGAGTTGAACGTACATTTTCATTTTTATTCTATTAAAATTTTGATAGGGAAAGGATTGTATGGGCGTTATCACGGACTAAGATCGTCTTGGGATGATAGGTTTTGGTGTAATTTGTCATATGATAGATGGTTGAATATCACGGATTAATAAGCTTGTAACTTTTTCAATCAATCCAATATTTGTCGATCGGTATTCGATCAATGATTTTGCACTTGTCGATTGCCCAGGCTATATTTGCTAATTGGATGAGAAGTGATTTTTAGGAATTGATGGGTAAGCATTGCTGCATTCTTCAAATTTATATAAAATGATTACCTTTTTTGGAAGGGAGTTTTATGGATTGATGTTTTTGTGGAAATCTAATGTGGTTCATGTGCTATTTGAAACTTGGGTGTTATTTTAGTTAAGGTTTTATCGAAAAGGTACTGTCTAGGTTGAAGAAAGTTGGTAGGACCTGCGTCATCTTTTCTCTTCCATTCCTTAAAGTCTCACTCTTTCCTCATTTTTAGACCGCCAATCCATGGCATGTTTTTCAATATTAACCAAGATTGTGGAACCATTAGGTTAGTAAGTAGGTTAGAGGTGGTTTCTGGCATGAGGTGATCACTCATTGCTGTCCTGGAATTTTTCAATCATACCAGATAACGGAAGTTTAAAGGTTATTACTTAATTTGGTTTCTTAAAATGGTGTAATTTTGTGCATGATGAATTGTCTTTCTTGGAATTGTTTTGCTACCAATATTTGATCTTCCACTACCAACATTTTGTTATAATTGATATTGTCATGATTTCATCATCATCAAATATTTCTGTGTTTTTCATTATTTGTGACCGCCTTTGCAAGTTCAAAAAGTGTTTTTTTGTGCAGTGGATATGAAAACCTAATGATATTAGCTGAGCTTAATTCGGTCACTTGAAATGGTGTAGTTTACGTGTAAACTTCCTTTCTTAGAATTCTTCTTTTGCTGTGCAGTTGTCATCATCACATTATTGTTCATCTTGGCATCATCTCAATTTGTTATCAAAATGTTATTTCTTTGTACACACAATTTGCAAGTGTAATTGCAAGTTAAAGAAACGACGTTGTGTAAATGGCAATTATGTTGTATACAGCCTTCTCTTTTCTCATCTCCTTTTTTTGATGTAGACCAGAAACAGAAGAGTTATCATGAGGAATTTTGGAATTATTGAGGGCTGATACAGTTTATTTGTTGTTCTGGGTTCATTTGATTGCTTCTAAACCTAAATGCCATGTAGAGGCACTTCCGTAAATTTGTGGGAAGAATATTATTATGGTTATGTTCGTTCCGGGTAGACAAGTGGAGTATCTGCTCTGCCTGAGACTGTGTGGGTTAACTGTCGAAATTTGTAATGAATGACCAAGTTGTTTAGAGATGCACTTACCTCCCATGAAGATGTATCGACAATCCATTTACCTTTTCTTTTGGGATTCAATGAGAAACATGGAGCACAATTGCTAGAAATCAAATATCATCTGCAAGACAAGGCCATGAACAGGGATCATGTGGGTAAATGTAATTTTGTAGAAAGAAGCCCAAATCAAGAACCCAGTTACTCTCTCGATGCAAATTGGAAAAAAAAAATTGAGGAGCCCGTGGTACCTCATAACAAGGTCTCTAAAGATGATGCCTGAAACTCCTGGACTGGCTGAATTGTTTTTAAAGCTTCTTTCTATTAATGTTGCCATCAAACACAAAGAGAAGATCGTTGTACTAGTCATCCGCCATTTCAGCTCTATTTACTTTTTTTTTTTTTTTATTTCAACAAAAAAAGGTACGTAGAGCTGAAGTGGTGGATAACATAGTAAATGGGTGCTTGTCTTGTGTTCCTCCGACATCGTTTCTATTCCGTGCTAGCCATAAAACTCGGTATGCTGCAGGGAAGATCAAAGTCAATCCATAATCCTGCCTATCCCTTTATATCTTGTATAAGCAATCGTTGCAAAGGTGCTGTGGATTGTCACTGGCAGGATTCGGATATCTTATTTGCAGTCTGGCACAAATTCCTTACTATTCCCTACATTGACCGTTCCGCTACGACCTCTGAGAGCCAAGCAGATTTGTGGATACGAAGCCAAAAGAAGTAAATTGTGGATGATTTTTTAATGTTGAGTATGATATGGTATGTACAAAATTTATTAATGTTTAAATTTAATTATATTTTAATATTTGGTAGTAACAGTTATTTTTATTTAAATTAATAGTATGATATAATTGTATATTTAAATAAATTATTTATTTTATTCTATATAGTAATAAATAATAAATAAAAAGAGAGAAAAATATAAAATAGAATGATTTAAAATAAAAGATAATTTTATAAATAAAAAAATTATAATTTTAAAAATTATTACTCAATTAATAAAAAATTATATTATATATTTAAAAGTGCAAAACAAATAAAAAAATATATTCAAATAGAATCTAAGAGAAACACTCAATTGGGATCAAACTATTCCAAATTGAATATTGTTTCCCCTGATATTAAACATTTTCCATTGCGATGGAAACCGTTGGTGTGAAAAGAAGACCGCAACATCTACAATTTTTTTATTCCATGCTTCTTCTACAGACCAGCTGGGTAGGGATATTTAAATTAGGTCAACGCGGAGTTAATTTCTCTCGAGAAGAAAAAGGTTGCCATGGCTCACTTCAAATCTCATCCCTCATACACCTGCAACCTCTTCACATGGCCAACCATACTTCAGCCTCAGATCACGATTCACATCCAAACACACGCCTCTACAATCCCTACCAAGACTATGATATCCCAATCAATACTCGACATCTTTTCAACCTCCCCACATCACCGGACTTCCTCTTTCACGAGGAAGCTATCCGTAAACGCCGGCCTTGGGGCGAGGATTTCGTTTTCTACACCGGTTCTGCTTACCTCGCCGGATCTTTCGCCGGCCACGCCGCTGGATTCATCTCCGCCATCAAGAATTTTGAGCAAGGCGACACACTAAAGCTCCGAATCAACAGTATATTGAACTACTCAGAACAATCAGGACGGCTGTGGGGAGGCCGGATCGGAATGATCGGAATGATCTACGCGGGGTTCAATGCTTGTGCCGTCGCTGCGACGGATAAGGACGGTGTATGGACCAGCGTGGCTGCGGGACTCGGCACGGGCGCGTTTTATTGGTCGCCGAGAGGGCTGAGATCAGCGGCGGTGGCCGGAGCGCTCGGAGGGATCATGGCGGGCGCGATGGTGGGAGGGAAGGAGGCTCTGGCGGGATACCTTCCGATTTGAAGTCTAGAGAAAGAGAGAGTGAGTTAATTTGAATTTTTCTCAGAGGGAAAATGATTAGCTCTGGTGTGATTTGTGGTCTATATATGCTTGAATATTTCAACCAATATTTATGGCATTCAATTAATTTACAGCAAGCTTTGTTTAGGAAGTAATTAATTTAGAAAATTATATTGATTTCAAAATAAAGTAAAATTGGTGAGATATATCTCAAATTTTTATGCAAAATTTAATCTGATTTCAAATGAATTATGATAATTTAAAAATAAATAAATATTGAATCTTAAAGAATAATAATAATCATTCTACATAAGATTTGAAACTGACATCTTTTATCTTTGAAACAGTAATGTCAAAGTCGATATTTAAACTTTATTCTGTTATATCTAAAGTTAACATTTATAGTGCAGGCGTACAGTTTGATGAAAAACCATTTTTAAGGAGAGAGAGTCTAGGTATAAAATTTGTTGATAAATAAATGTTGATTCTCCAGTTACATAGAAAAGGAAAAAATAACTTGGGAAAATGGCAAATGGGTGGATTTCCTCGATGCAGGAGAAGAAACAAAGAGTTAGGAGAATGACTTTATCTTCTTCAAATCTTCGTAAGGTGTGGAACAGCTCATGAAAGACCAACAGCCTTCCAGATGGTACTTCATGTTTGCTTTGGCAAGCTGTAATTTCCTGGTAGGAGGACGATAGCTGCTGGTTTTTCCTGAAGCTGCCCTCAGGCTGGGTGTTTCTGCCGTGGATTTCATGCTCTCCAAGGGGCTTTCCGGATTGAAAATCTGCATTAACTTTGAACTTTATTGTTGATGAAGACTATAGAATTATGAATTAAAAAGTTGAAAATGGAAACTAACCTGACCTAGACGAGTTTCTTGGGAGCGTGGAGGCCGTAGAAGATATTGAATGTTTTGGTGATCATCTGCGTTTCTAGGTCCATTGTCAAGGCCAATATCTCGGAGTCGAGTGAGTTCTGGTAAAACAACAGAAGCAAGATCTGGTCTGTCCTTCTTCCTCAGCTCACAACACTTCAATGCAATTTCTGCTAAACGTAAAGTGTCTTCTAAGGGCCAATCTAGTATGGCTGGATCAAGAATGTCTGCAAATGAACCCTCCTCAATTGCGTTCTCTACTTGATGGGATAGACCCATTGGATCCCTTGCTGTGATCATTTGTAAAAGCACTACACCTAACGAATACACATCTGATTTCACACTGAGCATTCCTGTTTGTTGATATTCAGGATCGATATAACAAAACGTACCAGCTGCTGCTGTGGAGCAATATTGACCAACACTACTATCCGTGATAGATCCTGGAACCAACTTAGCCAGACCCACATCACTGATTTTTCCCACATAGTTTCCGTCTAGCAGAATGTTTGCCGGCTTCAGGTCACGATGTACTAATGGCTCTGGCCTTGTCTGGTGAAGATAAACAAGTGCAGTGGTGATTTCAGCAGCTATTTTGAAACGGGTTTTCCATGGAATTGGAGTTGTGTTATCTTTTCTGAATAATCGATCTTCTAGGCTACCATTTTCCATGTATTCGTATACAAGGCATCCATAGTCAGGGCAGGCTCCAAGGAGGAGAACCATGTTGGGATGTCTCATGCAGCTTAGAACTTCAATCTACACCAATCAAAACAAATCAAATCAAATCATCATTACAAACCATGTTCTGATAATTGTTTGTTTCTCAAGAATCTAACATTACCTCTTGTTTGAATTGTTTTTGTGCCTGTGACATGTCTGGCCGTACAATTTTTATGGCAACTTCAGTGTGATGAAGCATTGCTCTGTAAACAGGTCCATATCCTCCTTCACCAATCTTCTGTGACCCTGAAAAGTAATTTGTTGCAGTTTCAATTTCATCAATCGTGTATTTTCTATACTGGACTGGATTATGACCCAACATAACTGTTGCTCTTTTCCTCTCTTCTGCTTCATACTCTGCTCTCATTTCTGCATATTTTCTCTTTTCCATTTCCATTTCCACCAGATGTTGAGCAATCTCCGCTGCTTCAATGGCTGCTTTTGTTTTCTGCCTTTCCATCTCTGCCAACGCCAATGCAGCCTCTTCAGCAAGCTTGGCTTCCTCTAATTTTTGCACATCTGCTACTCTCCATTTCTGTAGTTGATCCGCCTGCACATCAAAACAAATCAGACTTGAATTTCTTTAAACTCAAATTTTGGACTACTCTTATCTTCTTACCTTCTCTTTTGCTGCTTTCGCCTCTTCGCAAACTGAATTATACATATTCATGGAATGTTGTAACTCAAGCCTTAACGCTTTCATCCTATCATCACAAGCTCTCTGCCAGTCCAGTCAAGCCAATAACAATATTATAAGAGTGCTGGTACAAGCCCTACTTACCCCCTTTTCTTTTCTATATCATCTACATTCAAAATCATTCAATGTAATAAATCCCAACATGAATCTTTGATATGGTATACTCACTGATGACTCGGAAGAAAATGATCCTTGTGAGTTTCGAGATGCATTGTTGGGGTGACTAAAGCTTTTATCATTACCCTGATCTGAGAGGAGATTCCGTGTGTCTGAAATTTCATTTGGGTCAGATAGAGAATGTCTTCTGACAGATCCTAACCTAGAAGTCTCTCTTGTTAATCTTGGTGATTTGGGTTTGTCACTAGATTTGATCTTTTCACTCGGGATACCTCGAAAAGATTCACTAGTTGGTGCAGAACGTATTTTGCTGCACCAATAAGTAAGCTAAGATTCAGCTAGAAGAATAAAAAAGAAAGCTACAAAATTCATTTCTAGTTACCTGGCTATTTCTTGATGAGGATCGGAGAAATCATATCCAATCTTAGACACTGTTGGCCTTAGAGATTTTTGCTTGAGTACTGCTGTATCGATAGACACTGACAGCGGTTGACATGCAAATCTGACACTTCTGAGTCTTCCTTTAGATATAACATACACTGCACAACTCTCTGGTACAGTCTTGAGTAAACAAGTTGCCACATCTGAAGAATGTTTTTGCTTCCTGCATGGACTACAAGTTTTGTTAACACATACCCATAACTTGAACATGATTTGCATAGATACATATATATAGATATATTTACATATATAGATACCCACACACAGATATGAAGATGTTTAAGGCTGTAAAAAGGGAGAGAGAAGAGAGAGAGAGAGAGAGAGAGAGAGAGTGAGTGACCATATGAAAGTAGTCCTTGTGGAAGCACCAACAACAATGTTGCCAATGGAGTTGTGATTGACATAATCAACAACGGCACTTGGGATATCAGCTCCTTGGAGGATTACTTCCTTAGTCATAATCTGGATCAAGAATAAATTAGCTGCTCTTCGAATTCGATAAACTGGGAATTACAGTGCTTAATTTCTTACCCCTTTTTGAGCAAAACATTCTTGGTAAGGAAGGAACAATTCTTGGGTTTCCTCTTCTGTCGGCGAACGAGGGACATCATCACCATCTTCTGCATAACATCATAAGTCAACTCAACAACAAATATTAACAATTCCTGCACATCCTTATGCATGTATGTATGTATATATATATTTTTTAACTTAATAATGATTGTGATGATAAAAAGAGAAAGATACCTACGGGGATGCAAACTATAGCTCTGAACGTGAAGGAGAATGCATTGATGAGAAATGTTATGGGGTAAAAGGTTTTCGACTGCCCATTTGACGGCAAACTGAGTGCTCCTGCCTCTGCCAATCGCAATGGCTGTGATCTTAGGGTTTTCATCAGTCACTGAAGTCGATCTTTTCAGCACCATCATCGTCTTCGATCTTACAATAACTTACCTTCTTCCCTCAAATGCTATGTTTGTCGATTTCCAAAAAAGAAAAAAAGTAAATAACATAACATTTGTGAAAAAGAGTTTATACTTAGCTTCTCTGTCTTTTTTACTAAATTTGGACTCCTCATCACCATCATACCAGCTCCATTTTTACCAACAGAAATTTTGGTATCCACCCAAATCATTTTGGCTTATCTTATTAATTCTCTTTATTTTTTCAAATCATTTCAAGCTTGGCAATTCATATGGTGGTTGTAACAGTGAAAACTGATTCTGTTTTCTTTTTCATTCTTCCTCTTTCTCTCTTCTAAATTATGAAAGGTTTCTCATTTTTAAATTTAAATAATTTATTTTCTTTTTGCTTTTTTTTAAAAAAAAAAATTATTTCGGGTTTACTTATTCTCCCTCGAAAATTAGTTTATTATTATTTTTTTTTAATTTTAATTATTTTCTCAGATTAATTAAGAAATATATTGAGGAATGAGGATGATATTTTTTACACTTCCACTTTTTATAATTAATTACTATTTTTAATTACAATCATGTTATATTGATGCATTTTTTTTTCAATAATTCACTTTTTACCATTCCTTCAATTTCTTATTTTGTTAAGATGTTTATTGTACCTTCATATGTTTTAAATTTTCAGAAACAAAATTAATATAATATTGTATAATCATAAAAATATCGTGACAAGATATTAATAATATAAATATTAAAAAATCATATAAATACTAAAATAAATTCAAAATCAATATATAATTAAATTGGAAGGATTTTGAAAATATCTAAATAAAATAGATAATAATTTAAGTGCGGAATCGAAATAAAAGGGTTAAAATTCATATTTCTTACACAATAACTTAAAAGTACTAAACAGCATTACAAAATTCACCATTTGAAAGAAAGACAAGAAATAAGGAAATAAACGGAAAAAGAGAAAATATCTAATATCTACTCGCAATCTTCTTGCGAATCGAACTTTGGAACCTGATCCTCTTGATCTGAAATGGTTAAATAAAGGGTGAGGTACACTATCCCAGTAAGAATATCACACTATATCACCGACACATAAGTAAATATTGGTAGAAAAATTAAAAAAATAACTAAAGAGCACTTAATTTAAATAAATTCGTTTATCATAAATAAAATCATTTATCTCTCACTTACCGTAGTGAAATTTATGAAAACAATCTATAAAAATAATAATACCATACAGATCATAATTTCATGAACAATCAGCAACATAAAACATATTATAAATCTATATCTATTAACAATAAACCAAATCATAACTGTTTCTCTTTTCACTAGCCTACTAGTATTCATGTGGGTTCATAGGAATGTCTCATCTACACGTGAACTATTTTTTTTAACAATCTCAATTATAGGGTCGTCCCCATACCCCATCCGGTATGGACACCAAATTATTAAATCTTTATACTCCGTCCGCTATGAGGGTGAAACGGGCCGTTCTCATACCCCGTTCGGTATGGGTGCCAATTTATTAAGTCTCTATACTCCGTCCGGTATGAGACAATGTTCACGGTAGAGTTTTCTATGTACTCGATCCGTTCACCATCTCTCAGGTTATTTAGTAAGGCTGTCATTTCATTTATTCATTTAATCACATAATTTCTTTACCGTTTAACATTCCTTTTTCCCGATTCAGCAGTAAACACATCAATTAAACTATACATGCGTTCAAAGCAATAAAATAAATGAATCAGATATCATCATGCATATAAACTATAAAATCAATCAACAAATAGCAGTAGATAATTTCTGATTCTGGCTCCATTAGCAATCCGTAATTAATTATGTATATTTACTAAAATCGCATAAATACCATATTATTGTTTATTTAAACTTCAGTTCTATGATAGAGAATAGAGTAAGAGATTCTTACTCGATTTGATGCCCGAAAAGCTAAACTATTTACTGCGCCTACAAGCGGTCCCTAGATTCCCTGAATTTTTCTCCGGGAACTGAAATGCACTAATAATACCTATAAATATTCTAAATAAATCCAAAATCAGTCCTATGGCCCATTCGGCCAATTTTAGAAATTCGGCATGGTGATGGGTCGCCGCCTGCGGCGGTTCGCCTCGGGTTGGCCGTTTTCGGCCGAATTCAGTAGATTTTGCATCAATTTTTGCGAGCAAATACGTTAAAGGGTTTTGATTTGCCGAAAAAATACGAAAAACTAAAACTCACCAGCGGGGGGGCTCTCCGGTGCGGCGGCTCCTCCGGCTGACGTTGCGGTTGGGTGTTTCGCTTCGGTTAACCTGTAGAGAAGAAAACGATGATCACAATGGTGGAAAAAGTACGTGAAACAAGATCGAGGAGGGTCTCATCGAAGGCATTTTGTGAAATTCCCCGTGGCAGCACTGCTAGTGTTTTCTGGCCAATTAGCCGATCTTTTCACTCTGATTTGGCTATGGGTGAGTGAGCTCAAAATTGAATTTCGTGTAAAAGGGGAAGTTTTTACCTTTTTTGGTGGTCGAAAAGAGTTTTGGTGCGGCGGCATGCGGCTCTCCGGCGGCTGGGTCATTTTCTCCGGTGATGGGTTTTGGCGACTAGAGTTAGGGTTTGGTGCAGATTAGGGTTATTTATATCCATCTGCTTTTGATATGGGCCGTCCATCGCGTTTGATATGGACTGTCTGATCATAATTAAATAGGGAGTGAATCTGGACCGTTCATTGCGATCCAATCTGGACCGTCCAGAGTGAATTGGACCGTCTATCGTGATTCACACTGGATCATTCGATCGCGTTTGGGAGGGAGTACATCCAGGACGTCCGTATGCGCGGGAACATACCTCAGCCGTTCGATCGTGGGCACGCGGATCGCCCACGTGGTCCTCCTCCCGCGTGGCTTCCTACGTCAGCGTCTCTGCCACTTGGCGCGTCCTGGTTGGTCAGGACTGCTGACCCGACGTCTGACGTGACGAAATTTTCTTAAATTGCGTTTTGGCTCCTGTTTTTTTATTTTTCTTTCAAAAATACTTACAGAATCTAAATTTTCACTCATTTTTTTTAAAATTATTTTTAATTTAATCATCCGTCAATTTTACTCCATTTTTTCATTAAATTAAAATTAAAAAAACTACAAAAATTATATTTACACTTTAATTCAAATTATGTTGAAATAAATTTGGGTGTGGGTGTTACATAAATATTATAAAAATTAATACATTATAGTTTAATCTAATTAGTAAGGAGATATTCTTGCTACTTTGACCACTTGGATTGGATTTTTATAAATAATACTTATCCATAAAAAAATCTTGAATATATCAGGCTAATACTGATAAATATGGTCAAATATTATTAATTTTTTAAGAAAATTGTTAGTACATTAAATAGTTAAATAAAGTAATTTAATAATTATAAGTGTGATTTAAGGAATAATAACAAATAGGAGATAAAACTAAACAAAACAAAAAAAAGGAAGAAAAATCAATTTTAAACAAGAGAGAAACAAGTTAAAAAATATTTAAAAACCGTAATTATAATTAGAAAACTAAAATTAATTTTCTTAAAATAATTTAACTCTTCTTTATATATATATATAGATGTGATATTAATATTAAATGTTGCAGATACATTAACTATCATTTGAAAATTAATTAGTATCCCCATACACTTAGATTGCTGCAAAATTACCCATATGGAGATAAAGCAGCCTCATTCCCAAGTTAGCATTTACTTATTTGGTAATTTAGGTTAAATCTATACTTACCCACTAAACATGCCTCAAAATGTGTTTGTTTGAGAGGTGAAAAAGAAAAGATTAGAATGTGTAATTACTTAAAAAGGGTTTGTTTAGAAGTTGAATTTTGTGTATTTTAGTTGATCAACAAATTTTAATTTAACTTGATTCATATATATATATATATATATATTTATTGTAAATACAAATATTAATAAATTTTCTCCTTAAAGGAAGTAGAATGTTTATTATTATTATTATTATGTTGTGTTAAAGAAATTAGTGGGAAATGATTATTGATTAGAGAGGTAAGATTTAGGTTAGATTTTTTAAAAAACAATAGTTGTAAATGTGGCACATGGGAGGGAGGGGGAAGACATTATTGGTCTGAAATTGACTTTTCCTAGCAAGGACACGTGTTCCTCCTCAAAGTTTGCCTCATGAAAAATCCATGAGTAGTTGTCTACATGTAAACACCATATCCTATCACCATTTTCTCTGTCTTTAAAAGCTTTCAATGATGTAAGATAATTACAGGTATACGTGTCCCCTAAACAACGCATGGTAAAACCCCCCCCCAAAAAAAAAAAAAAAAAAAAAAAAGAAAAAGAAAAAGCATTTCCACACATATTCTCTCTCTCTCTCTCTCTCTCTCTCATTGAGCCCCCAGGCAAGCAAAGGGGATCAAAAAATCTAGGAAAAGAGCCTTCTTTTCACATAATTTTCTGCCTTCAAGTCTCTTCAGTTTCAACTGGTAAGCGCCCTTTGCTTGTTTTTCTCAATACTTGGTACTTTCTCTTTTCATTGTTTACAAACAAGGGGCTAATGATAAGAATCGTCTACTAGCTACTATACCCGGATGTTCTGTTTCCTGTCATAGCTGAGGTTCTTCTTGTTCTTTTTTTTCTTTTAGTTGGTTTTGTTTACTGGAAGAAAGAGAAGGGGAACTGAAGGACACCCACGTTTGTTGTTAGTCTGAGAGGGATTGCCTCGGATCCAGGGAACCCAAGTATTATGCCAAAAAGGCTTCAACTTTTTTAGGGTT